GCACACACACACACACACACACACACACACACACACACACACACGCACACACACATACAGACACACAAAGAAACGTGGTTTTGTTTTGTTCACACTTCTGAAAGATGATTTCTGATGTCGCCATTCACTCGAATGAAAAAGTCAAAGATCATAAAGAACAAACCTTCGAAGGAGACTACAGACCGCCAAAATAGACATTATACAATGGGATCAGTCACAGATTCTCTCACAATACTCTTAACGTTAAAAGAGCCTCCAACCCGAATACCTTCTTTGAGCAAAAATCGCTCCTGTCGTTAAATAGAAACCTTCATGTGATTTATATAGCGGCTCGATGATTATAAGAATCAAACACAGTTGTTTCTGTTCAACAACAGCAGCAAGAACAACAGCAGCAACAGCAGAAGCAAACAACAACAACAACAACAACAACAACAACAACAACAACAGCAGCGGCAAAACCCTTCAAAAATAAATTATAAAGATGAAACAAACAAACAACAACCCGTCTACCTCCTCACCCCTCATAAAGCATAAAACATCAACTAAACCTTAGAAAAGACAACCCCCACCCCACAAAAAACAAACAAAAATAACAAACAAAACAAACAAACAAAAAAAAAAAAAAAAAAAAAAAAAAAAAACCAACCACCCAAAAAAAAAAAAAACCCCCAACACAAACCAAGCACCCCAAACGTAACAACATAATAACCCAGAAGAACCAACGAAACACGGCCCAAAACAGAGTTGGCGGCTTAAGTAGCAGCATACACTTGATATTAGAGATGACCGGAGCGCGTGGGTTGTGCCGGATAGGAAGAGTAATAGGAATTACACGGAGGGCTGTAAAAATGCCTCGCCCGTGGATCAAAGAGCGGGACAGGTGAGGGAACTCCCAGAGCAGGGTCTGGCACCGATAACCGAAAAGGTTAGAAATTGGAGAAATCTCGTGAGGGTCCTCAGCGTGCAGCGAGTGGCTGTCTGTGGTGGGGAAGTTTTTGCATATTCCTGGGATCAAGCAACAAAAACGAAAACAGTGCAAATAATAGCAACAGTAATGACAACAGTAACATCGGCGACAATAACGACAGTAACACACTAATAACAATAACAACAATAACAATAAAGCAACACCACTAACATCAATACCACAAATACCACAGTCACTACAAAGGATTAAAAAAAATAACAGCAACAATAGCAATATTAAAAGCAAGACAATGTAAATATGAGAAATATAGCAATCAATATTGAAGGTATCTGACAAATCTATGGAAATCTGTACTGCCGGAAAAGTGTGAGAGCATTTTACTCATTCCCACATCTCCTGGGTAGTTTTCAGTTGACCAACACGATAATTATGCATGATGATTGTAATTTGCCTCTTCTTGACTACCAGTAAGTACACTTTTTAGTTCAAGCTGGTTAGTGAATTGGTAGTGCAGACAAAAAATGTTGCGATACTTGTTTCGATTAGTCGAAAAAGAAATGGAGATTCAAAGATAGACTCGGTATATTCTAAAATTATCATTAAGATCATAGCCGAATTGCCATATCTAACGGATACCATGGAGTCATAAAGATTAAGAAAGTAAAATCGTTTAAAGGTTAGGCCCCAAAGAAAAAAAATACCCGGAACATGACTCTTAAGCTAATATAATATAGTATACTTGCGGTGCTCAGGACGTTTCAACTAAGCAAAGGTTATGAAGCACACTGCAGTTTCTATGTAAATAGCTGTAACAGAATGTCTTTTGTTGAAGGTAGCCCCCTAACCACGTGTGACAATTGAAAGGAGAGTGCAATGATACAGCATGTGTGCAGCTGTTGGTGAATGCTGGAGGTATTAGATCTGTATTGTTAGAGAGGTTCCAACGTGATCACAAGCGGAGTCTTAGTTACAGAGAAGTCACACGTCATGTGGAAAACGATCATCGAACAGCCCGGAATTAGATACAAATATCTAGCTGCACAGTAATCTGGAAACTGTTCTGTCAAGTGAATACACAAGAACATCGTAAAGACCGCTATGATGACGGCTTTTACATTTGAATCATTAAGTTTTATTTCATGAAGATTTAGTAAACGAACCATGTGACGTAAAAATACGGCAACTTTCTATGTAATCAGATATAACAAGTGCTCTCGGATAAGAACAAAAAATATCGGAGGTCCGTGTGCAAGTTGCGCAAGTTAAAGATCCCTTGGTGGTCTAAAATCGATAAGCGCAGGCATTGGCTGCCACTCGGGCAAAATTCAAAATGAATGCCTACCAAACTGAAAATGTTTAATGTGTCCCGCGCGCTGATATGACCGTATACAGTTGCGAATGCCGTAAAACACTTACCAAAACAAAAATTATACAACAGACACTATAACATTTTTTTTAAAAGTTTGGTGTGGATGAGACAAACAGGAGACAGCAGTCACAAAACGTGTCATGTTGACCACATGATTTTATGTGTTTTTAAAACGATTTTGTTTTCTCTCCCACGTGGTGCTAATGTAGGCGCGATTAGAAAAGTATGGAGCTCGTAAGAACCAAGCAAGCTTAAAAGCATGCCCCTTCTCTCTCTCTCTCTCTCTCTCTCT